GCAGGAATCTCAAACCTCCAGCAGCCGCACGCTGATGAGCTCGTTTCCCACTCTCGCCTGGCAGGCACCAGGCAGGGTGCAAGTCTGTGGTCTGTATTTACTGAGCAAGACCCAGAACATGTCTTAGGTGGCTCCCAGCTGGACACAAAAAAGGCTTGAGGAGGTTTTGGATGCTAACACACCACGTCTGCAGATACTGCAGCTTTAGAAAGCCTCAAGGTGAACAAAAATGCTATCAGTCGCTATCAGCCTGACCCCACGAAGGACTTGGATGCCTCAAAGTGGACTTTGAGTGCACAAGTTCAGATCTGCAATGCAAAACCCTCCTGCTCAGCAGTCCTGGAAACTCATCAGACACCTCCCTTTCTAGCCTGAAACTTCCCGAGGCATTAGCCGTTCTGCCTGCCAACCGTGCCCACAACTTCCATTGTCTAAGCAGGTAGGCGCCCGGCCCCCACCTAAGCCCCACTGGGATCCAGAAACCAGCAGGAGCGGTACCTCTATCCCCGAAGGGCCCGATCCAGGGTGTGTGCCGAGAGCACAGTCAGTGCACACACCCACAGCACTGGGTCCAGTACAAAACACAACAGCTACAGGCACTTTGCTTTAAAAACTCAAGCCGAGGAGGTGGCGATGCCCACTCCTTTGTTAACAGTCTGGTGGTTACAGCACTGGTCCAGGGAGCAGGAGACCTGGGGTGCAGACCCTAATCATCATCACCCAAGACAGGGCCCTGACCACCGGGCACGCGCTGCCAAGGGCATGTGCACCCTCCCAACCTCCTGCTGCTGCACAACGCCCCCGCTTCAATGGACACAGGATTCGTGGGGCTAGAGGGAGGCTCTGCAGCCTGCTGCCTCGGGCCCTTGCTCGGGGAGGAGGGTCCCCAACTCCGCTTGCACTTCCCTTTAAGCAGTGATTAATCAAAGAGCAGCGATAGTGCTGGGTGAGAGCAGCACCAGGCAGAACCACTTCCTTTTCTTTTGCAGCAGCCCGTTTCCAAATCTATGCAGCACAGAAAACTTGTTTTCTGCACAAAGTTTTATCATCATTCCCCTTGCTCCGAGTCTCCGTAATTAAGTACCGGATTCCCCCCCCAGGCAAGGAGGGAGCCTTGTTTATCTCATTAATTGGAGAGCGCTTGAATAAAAAATGAAAGGCTTTGTTTTGCTGAGGTAACACACGTATTGTTCAACCGAAAGAACTGTCAGCTTCAAGAGCCAGCGTAAAAAATAATGTGAAAAATTAAACACAAAATAGTCAAGTGCTGAAACTGTTTTCATCTCATCTGGAGGACTTCAGACTCAGCCCTTTGGCTACACAGTATTTTTGTACACCTGCATTGGCATGCTGACACCCACTTGATGTCTATATGGACAATAAGATGAAGTCTAAATGGAGCATAGCCAAGGATAAAACAGACCAGGGATACGGCTCCTTTGCATAACTCGGTTACATAACACCGTGCTGAGAGCTGTGCGTTTAATCCTTCTTGTCATTGGTAAATCCGCTGTTGAAATATCCGGGGCCACTCCCCTGCAAAGTCAGAATATGATGGGGATTTCTCCCTAAGCATCCCTGCCATCTTGAATTGTCTTCATGTATTGATCGTCTGTGCGAGGTTACCTTGTTCCAAGAGAAAGAAAGAACAGAGCTGTCAACAGGAAAGAACTGCACCTGCACTGATGGGGTTGCAAAAAGCACTTGGCCGAAAGCAGTTGTCAGTTCTAGGTATTGCAACGTGCAAATCAGGGATTTATTCTGCTCTCAGCCTTTTAATCTGACCTGCAGCCTACTACCTGGAGCTATGATGTTGCAAAGCTCATTGCCAAAACCTACTCAGTACTTAGAGAGCAGGCAAGCAAAGGAAAGGCTAGGTTGTGGCAAGAAATGGATTAGCGAGTGATTCAGGACCCGATGCCAAGCCTGTTAAAGTCAAGGCTGCGTGGGAAGGGGTCATTTCACTGAGCTCAGTGGGTTTTGGAAAACATCTGTAGCTTTGGCACAGCTCTGTGCATCGGGACTGAATGCCCCAGCCCGACGCCAGGGGAACCGGGGCTGTGGTCCAGGAAAGTCTTGTATAAACAAGGCATCATTGCCTTCCTAGATGCGAGGTCTTTTGAACACCACAAAGCTCCGTACGAGCACATTTGATGACGATTCGTTTCATCACTTCCTACCACCCTGATACGACCACGTAGCTAAACTTCATCCAAACGCAGCTAGAGAATGGGAGTCATCAACCACGAGACTGGTCTTGAAAACTCCCGCTCGGGAAAGAGTTCCTGACAGCGGGCTCTGCATTACCTCCCAGAACAAGTTCCCAAACAGCGAGAGAGAAATCCTTGCTTATGTCCTTTAAAAATAGATGGGTCTGAAACACGAGCGTATCTGTTATTAGGATGATGTTGTAATGATCCCTTGGAGAAGAAAAAACAGATGTGAATTGATGGTCCTCGACCAGTTTCTTTGGTCGCTGTCTCTGCCAAGCCACTCTGGTGGCAGGTCTTTGTTTTCGTTAAAACGATGCTGAGCTACCCCGCTCTTGAGCTCCTCTTTCAGACCTGGAGGCAGAGGAAGCTAGGTTGGGGAACCTTTTAACTGTCGGTTGACTTGGTTTTTCCAGACAGCTCCGGACGGCTGGAAGAATTCGGTCCGCCATAACTTATCCTTGAACAAGTGCTTTGAGAAAGTTGAAAATAAGTCAGGCAGCTCTTCTCGGAAAGGCTGTCTGTGGGCACTGAATCCAGCCAAAATCGATAAGATGCAGGAAGAGCTCCAGAAATGGAAGAGGAAAGATCCGGTCGCTGTGAGGAAGAGCATGGCCAAGCCAGGTCAGTAATAGCCTACCACATTCATTGTCAAGCAGTGGCCCACAGACCCTTTTCTTAGGGGCACGCAGCATAAATACACCGAGACCTAAGCAATACAAGAGGATTTGATGCTGGGAAGGGAGATGGTCCTCCTGTTTAGGAAGTGGCCGGCAGATGGGAAAAGCAGGAAAGCTCTAAGGCTAAAATAAGAGTTGGCTTTGTTCCCAGCATTGCTAATGGGACACGTCAACCACGTCAGCATTGCTCTGTCACTTCATGGACAGGCATCTCCCTTGACATCTCACAAAACTTTCATACAAGAGGGGGTCTGAAACAGGCCAGCAAAACAATTTGACCATAGTTTAGCTGACAGATCTCATCCAGGGGTGCTTGTACACGTGATGGGGTTTAATCCTCGTTAAATGAAATAGGTTTATTAACATTAAAAAGCTTTATTTTAAACCATTGACGCGACGTCAATGGTTGCACATGACAGCCTTTACAGTGAATTAAGCCCAGCGGGCAAGTCCCAGTAAATTGCAGCATCTCTAAATAAGAAATGGTGCTCCCTTGCCGCGGGTGGGCACCCCCATAATGCGGCCCGAGCCCTGAGGGTCCTGCGTGAGGCACGAGCATCACGGGCAAACTTGAGTTGTTCCTTCCTGCCCGTACAGCCATTTCCAGAGCAGCACTAAAATCCTAGCCGCACCCCGAGCGGAGGACAACCTCAATGCAGAGCGGGCAATACCTGGCAAAAAGTTGCGTTGTAACTTGGTTGTGTTCCATTTCTCTTTTTAGAAGAGCTCGACACATTGATAGGAGAGAAGATGGACAAACTGAGGCCTTCCGTCATGGCCTGCAATCCAAATGGTGTCACAAGTTCATCAGGGGTTTCCAGACAGATGTTAGCCCAGCCCCACTCTCTGTGTGACCCATCCCTCTCGTCTGGTCCCCCCCCGGCTTTGCATGCTATTCATCCACCAGGACCATTATGTGCCAAGAACCCACTACCAAGTTTGCTCGGAGGGCACCACTCTTCGTGTTACACATCGTCACAGGGCTTTCCTCCAATCTCGACCACGTTAATGCAGCAATCACCAGGAATCCCTCAGACCATATTCCCTTCTGGAGACACCCAAAGTGAACTCAGGGCACAGCCTAGCACCACCCAGGACTCCCCCGTGCCAGCTCAGACCCCTCCTATACATGGCATGAAGATGCTGACAGAGCACTCGGCAACCCGAACAATGCAGGACACGCTCATGCAAGACGGCGACCTGAGCAACGACATCGACGCCCTTAATCCGTCCCTGACTGATTTTGATCTCCAAGGTAAGTGCCTCGTCTTCCACTGAAGCGCGCTTACTCATTGTGTGCCTTGCCAAAGGAGATCTGACCCACACACAATCTTTTCCCCAGTGCCCTGAACACACAACCAAAAACACCTAGGAGTAGCCTTATGGGTCTCACTTCCCTGTCCTTGTTGACTTGTCCTTCCCACGGTCCCAAAAGGTAGTCCAGGATGTTTCACCATCTCCTGCAGCAAGGAATGAATAAAGAAAGTTTCCAAGCCAAGACAAATAGACTCAGAGCTAGAAAAATAGCTTATACCCCCTCACCTCTGCCTCTACTGCACACGGCAGTGACTCTCTCAACCTCCGTCTTCCCCACCTCCACATAGGTTTCCCCAGAGAAAAGTACCCAAGCACAGTTACTAAACGCACATCAGAGATTATCACACGAGAATGAGGAGACGTGACTTTGTTCGATTATGCTTTACGTAGAAATGTCGGGGTTCCTTTCATCCTTTATAGTCTAATACCTTCCACATCTTTGTTCAAAAAAGTGCAATCTATCCCCATGTAGAGCTTCAGCTGTTTGGCTGGGCCCTGAATGGACTTCCTAAATTTGATCAAGTTCTCCCAAAGGGTTAATTATATATTGCTGTCACCAACATTTTTCCTCCCAGCAAAAGATTATTTCTTTTGAATGGCTGTGATGCTCAAACCCTGGATCATGCACTTCCAAAGGATAAAAAGAATTAGTGGAAGGACCAAGTATAGGTAACACAGCTATAGATTAAAGCCTGCAACTTTCCTACTGCATAGGTAGCTCTTGCCCTTTGCACAGGACAGCAGGCGCACACGTTCCCTTCACAGAGATGCAGCAAAATCAGCGTGCAGCAGAGAGCGTGCAGATGCACAGAGCAACTCTGTGGAGCACGGCTGCTGAGCTCACGCAGCTGTCGTAGCAGAGAAGCATCACCAACCATTTGTTCTAGCTCCACTGACAGTAAGAGTTAAGTCGACAGACAACGCTGGTGGGTCCAAATGGCAAAGGAACCCGTGTGTTTGGGATCCTGTGTTGGCATCCACGACAGCCGAGTCAATGCACGCGCGTGTGCACACGTCTGTGCGGTGCAAGCCGCAAGAGCTCACATTTCATGCCTGCCTTTTGCTTCATCTCCTTTTCCTTTTACAAATCCTGCCTTCACTGGCACTGGGTATGTCAGAACAGCCGGACGCTGTGGGTACAAATGTAGTGACAGCATCCCTGCCACAGAAAATCTCTGCTGATTTTGTGCAAACTTCTCCATAGACGTTTGCACAAAAACTGAGCAGAAAGCTACAGCCCTAATGCAGTGATTAAACTTATTCTTTAGCGTCGCCCTTGAACTCTGTCACTCAGTGGGAAAGGGGGCGTCGAGTACCTTCTCAGCAGCATTTCCAATCTTTGCTCGTCACAGAATCACAGACGAGGAGGGTTGAAGGGAGCTCAGGAGGGCATGTCTAGTCCAGCCCCTGCTCCAAGCAGACCCAGCCCCAACTGCATCGTCCCATTCCCAGCCCAGACTTTAAAATTTCTAAGGATGGCAAGCCCACAATCTGGCAACCTGCACGTGCACCAAACTGATTTGCACGTGCAGTTGGATTAATTAGGCATCAACATTATTGGTAGATCTGCCCCATAAATCGTCCCCAGCAGCTCGCAGCTCAGCTGGTGCCTCTTCCAGCTGACAGCTAGGTTACGTCCGTCCGCATTTGAAAAGACTTCTTCAATGAAAGTCTGTCTTCTGCCACTTCGGGATTAGTCACGGAGGCAAATCGTGGAGGAAAGCCCGTTCTGGCTCCCTCAGCACAGACGTGCGTGGCGGGAGGAGTACTCCCACCAGCGGTCCCTCGCGTAAAGGACCGTGCACGCAGACACAAGCGGAAGCTCACCCGGAGCGTTTTGTTTTGTTATAGGAAACCTCTGGGAAGAGCTGAAAGACGACAGCCTGGCTGCGGACCCCCTGGTTCTCATCTCGTCCTCCCAGTGTTTGCCTCCACACTGCCAGATGGATGGTGGCACCAGCAGCGCCCCCCACACCAGCTTACCCGACCTCCAGCTTACCACCCTTTACTCGGCATTTATGGAAGTGGATGCAGTGTCTACACCCTACTTGAGCAATCCTGGATCGAAGCCCATAGCATTAGTGTGAACCACAAGCCAGCCTCACTGCCGTTATTTGTGTCCCAACACAGGATACAAATCACTCTAGCACCTTCGCTAAAATAAATCAGTACTGTGTCCAGCCACATAAGGACTCTCTTTTTCTAGAGCTGGCCTGCAGGAAATAGAAGCCTTCCCTAAGCCTACTTGTAAGAGATGATATTAAATGCTGGAAAAAAAACCCACATGGCCCGCTAGTTTAAAGATAAATTGAGGCTGGCCAAAAAGGCACTGGGAGCTTTTCTGCATCTTCCTGAAATAAAAGATGAGCTGAGGAAAACAAACAGCTGTCAGATATTTGTATGGGAGCCTCTTGCGATTGAACGTGTAAGTCAAGGCAAACAAAAATAAAAATATTCCCAAGAAATACCTCTCAAGTCAGTGATGTCTGTGCCTTCTGCTGCAGACCAGGACAGTAAACCCACATTAAAAATGTATTCGAAAACATGCACTGGTTTTTGATGAAAAAGGCACATGCATTAAAAGCTTGCAAACATTACAAGACAGAGGACTAGTATCCTTTAAAAAAAAAAAAAAATATATATATATATATATACACACACACACACACACACACACACACATACATACACACACACACACACACACACACACCCCCAATAAGCATATCTTACTGGGCAGTTTTACTGTAAAGAATTCACAACCTGTTTTTAAAAAAAATAAAATAAAATGCACAATTTAGTTTGACCCCTGACTTAGATGGAAATGATACATATTGGGCACGTCTACACATGCATTAATGCACCATAGTTACTGCGCATTAAGTTTAGCAGGTACTAACCAGTAACAGGCACTATTATGCAGTAGCACCAGCAGATGCCTTTTTAGTGACACTAATGCGTGGTAGACTAATTCTCCTGCACATTAGCATGGCTTTTGCCAAGACATGCTAATGCTTAGTCTACTGAGCATTTTTTTAGCGTCTCATGTAGATGTGCCCATTTATTCCTTTATTTTCATCTGGATAACCGGAGGAGAATACACACTGTTTAAATCCAGATGTTGCAGAACACAAAAATAAGCACATTAAAAAAAAAAACACAGATACAATAATTTTTTTTTTTTTTTTTTTTTTATAAAGTGCCTATTTATTTAATATATTTGTATTTGAATAAGATAAAATGCTTCTTGAAATATGCGATGCCAGGAACTTTAAAACATTTCAGTCAAGGAAAAAAACACTCCCTACAAAATCACCCCATTTTATTTAGGAAG